TTGCATAATGGGTGGTCTTCTATACCCCCAACTTGTGCTTCTCTAAGGTGAGTGTAGCTATGCGTGACTCCGGTTGGGTCTTTGGTTCGTATTTTCCAATTGAACATTATCTTGAGTCATGACGTTGACGTCTGAATGGATGAATTCATTAACGTGGTCGACTTTCCAGGCTCTGACGAAGGCGATAACGCCGAAACGTTGGCCGGATAAAGAAGTTTTAACATCTTGGTGCAAGCTCAGCATAATATGGAGTTACCATCATCATGCCAAGATTAATAAGCAGTCGGACTTGGAAGATATATTGGCTGCTATTTTAGTTCTTAGATCGAACTTCGAAAATTTGCTACAGCACCCGTCGTTACCGGAGAGGAATTGTCGTCACCATCTAAATGGTCCATATGCTACAATATTATTGTACACGTTTACCGGATATAGTTATTTTCTTTGTACAATATGAAATTATTCACCTGATGTTGGCGCTTTCGCTTTCAGCATAGCTCAGTGTGAACCGTGTTATTTAACTGTTCATCTTGCTTATTTTTACATTGATTTAAGAACGGTATAGATGGAGCTGTTATCTGATCTGCGAGCATATAAAACTAGTGCTGTAGGACGTACCGGGATTCTTAATTCAATTCCCCTCTGCTCACGCCTACTAGTTCAATTACTAAACCTCGCTTGCAACTCTCTTTTTCCGGTCAAGTTCTTCCCAACTGCAAGTCATCTAACGGCATTATTGTAAATACTGTAATAAACGTCATTGCTCAAATCGTCTCCAACCACAGAAGTAAAGTCCCGTGTGACTCAACTTGTCAAGTACTGTTCCAGTGCAAACTAGCGCGAACACGTTGACTTAGCTAAGGGTATCTTCAATCTCATTCCTATGTGTATCAAGCAGAAAGTTCGTATGAATGTATGTATGTATGTACGTATGTCCGAAATACGAATTTCTGTTTCTGAACCGGTAAGACCCAAATTCTGCACACATACATTTTAGACGCCGGCAGGTATAGGCTACTTTATACAGTAGTTAGTCGTCTGAGGGCGTTAATTTGCGAGTTTTTGCGAAAATTACGTCATTCTTAAAAATGAAGTGATTCAATCGTTATCAGACTACTTAAGCAAGATTGTGTAAACACATATAGTTTCTGAATAGAAGGACATTGTAGCGGGGCAGTTGCTCGAATGGATTAGCAGTTGGAATCAGAGTTCAACGATAATTGTAAGGCGAAGGGCAGATTATATGCATTCATGTTTTCGTTTGCATTTGAAGAAGCGAAGAAAAAAGACACCATTCATTTGAATGGTGCTTTAGCTAACATCTGAGCATTCAGCTGCCTTTGGTAACTACATGAAATTGGTAGGCTCACGTAATTGAGAACGGGGAGAGGTAGGGTAGGAGTCTCAAGAAACGCTCGGAACTTTTTGCACTTCCACTTTCTCTCTACAATTGTAGTATGTATCAGTCACTTTTCGGTAACAATGGTTTTAAGTTTGAGTGTTGCTCAATAATCTGGCTTCCACACAGCTTAAAATTTCAACAAGCGGTAGTTAGGACGCGATGTAGCAAAAATGGATGGGTTTGTGACAACGATAGAAAAATATAAAGGCTGAGTTGCAAGTTGTACCTCAAAGAGTCTATAAAAGCGAGCAAAGCCGGATTTACCAGCTACTTGTGATTCGCTGACGTTGAATAAGGACTTGTTGCGCCAAAGAAGTTCATTGTTTGAAAATGAACTTATGCAATTATTAATTGCCAGACTAACCAAACAAGATTACGCACCTATGATAATGAAATGAAGGTAAGTGCGGAAGTCGTTCATTTGAACAATAGACGAGCATAACTTCGTAGGCGTTGAGAAAAAGCAAACTAATTAAGCTAATTAGTTCTTTTTGGCAGCTAAGACAAGGAATAAAACAATTTAAGGATGAGAGGGATTCAGAGTGATAATGTATGCACCCACTCTGCGTTCCCAATTGCATTTTAAGAAAATGTCGGGTTTCATTAATAGATGCCGAGCGTAGCCGGGTTTGCCAGCTAGTCATTAATAAAACCCATATAGCACTTCTTGCTAATGTTTCGAATCAGTTTATTGACATCAAAAGTCCCATCCAACAAAATTCCTAAAGGCTCTAAAGGTAAGGTACTTTCTCTACTTTCAAGGTAAGTGCAAATCCCTCCTTCCCTTCACTTTTCTGAAGTAAAGGGATCAAGCGTAGAGTTTCGGGCAAGTCCCTTATTGCTATTACATTCGACCTCAATTTTTTCTTCTCAGACACGCAAAAACATAGAGCTTGATGTTTAGATGCATCACGCTCGCCCTGTACTGGATATTACCAAAGGCTTTTCTCTAGGAGATAGGTAAAGACCAAGTTAGTCAAAATGGAAACTACCGTCATAAGGGCTCTAAGCTAAACTGTGTACACATCATTCAGCTGAAATCGAATCATTTATTTCAAAACATTAAATGCAATGGCGCTTCCACTTCTCAATAGGAAGTTCGGCTGTTTCCACACTGTGCGTCAGCGGATGTCAAGAATACAGGATTCAGTCTTTTTACTTCTCTTGCGATTTGATCCACCTGAATGAAGCATTTACAATGGAAAAGACAATACTAGGAAAAAAATCAGAAAAATACCATTAAGCAATCGGCTCTTGGGACCTTCACATCCACTGCTGCATTACCATCTACATCTCGAGCAGTTATGCTGAGCATATCTTCGTGATACTTCATTCCAAATCTATTCATCGTTTGTTCAATCTGAAAATTTCACTATTTGTTCTTTTTAGGCAATTTAGCGGCAACCTAATGAAAAAACTACTTGGCTTGCTGCAATGTCAACGTATTCA